CAGGATGGTCTCGATCTCCTGACCTTGTGATCGACCCGCCTCGGCCTCCCAAAGTGCTGGGATTACAGGCTTGAGCCACTGCGCCCAGCCTTTTTTTCCTTTTTTTTTCTGGAGACAGTCTTGCTCTGTCACCAAGGCTGGAGTGCAGTGGCATTATCATAGCTCGTTGCAGCCTCAGACTCCTGGGTTCAAGTGATCCTTCCATTTCATTCTCTCAAGTAGTTGAGACTTACAGGTGCATACCACCATGCCCAGCTAACTTTTTGTTTTTTCTAAAGACAGGGCCTCCTTGTGTTGCCCAGGCTGGTCTTAAACTCCTGGGCTCAAGCAGTCCTCCCACCTCAGACTCCCAGAGTGTTAGGATTACAGGCATGAGACACCGTGCCCAGCCAGTATCATCCTCTTCTTATCATACTCTCAGGATTAGGACATTTCCTAGGTATTCATTCCTACAATCTTGCCATGACTGTCTCTCGCACACATACAGCCCATCACCCCAACACACACATACATACTCTGTTGCCCACTCTAATAGGGATAATTTTAGAATTTCATATGTTCATTCAAAACAGTACCTGTCATGCTACAGGTACTGTGTTTTGGCTTTGGGGAGATTGAAAGGTGAATGAGACATGGTGTTTATTCTTAGGAAGGGAAATAATATTTATGTATATGGAGATACCTTTATTGCAAGGTATAATATGGAGTAAGAAACATGAGAGAGGCTTCTGGTGCTAAGGAAATAGAGTGAAAAGAGATCATTTTGTTAAATGATACTGAAAATATTCTGAGTGGGAATTTTATGAAACAGCACAGGGCACTCAAGATGGAAGGAGCAACAGGACGGGAAGTTTGGAGGCAGAAAAGCCTATGGGATATTTGAAGGTACCTTTGGGGATTAGTATAAATTAAATCTGGAAGGTAGACTGAGATAAGATTATAGGATTATTGTGGATTTTTGTAGATTTGAGTATGAATCCTGGGGCAGCCATCAAATTTTGTATCGCTGGGGAAGCTAAACTTCTCTAAGCCTTAGTTTCTTCATCTGTAAAATGGAGATAATACCAAGTACCCCAAATTAATATTGAAGTTAAACGAAAATGTTTGCAAAGTTGGAGAACTCACACATCCCAATTTCTTTCTTTCTTTCTTTCTTTTTTTTTTTTTGAGACAGAGTCTCGCTGTTGCCCAGACTGGAATGCAGTGGTCCTATCCTGATTCACTGCGATCTTTGCCCCCCCACCACCCACCCAGCTCAAGTGATCCTCCCACCTCAGCCTCCCTAGTAGCTGGGACCACAAGTGCAAGCCACCACGCCCAGCCAATTTTTGTATTTTTTGTAGAGACAGGATTTTGTCATGTTGCCCAGGCTGTTTTTGAACTCCTGAGCTCAAGAGATCCACCCTCCTCAGCCTCCCAAAGTGCTGGGATTACAGACATGAGCCACTGTGCCCAGCCCCCAGTTCCAAAACCTATAATCATTATATACTTACCAGTTCAATATCCCTAATCTGAAAACCCAAAATGCTCCCGTGAGCATTTCCTTTGAGTGCTATGTCGGCACTCCAAAAGTTTCAGGTTTTGGAACATTTTGGATCTCGGTACTCAAAAAGCTTTAGATTTTGGAGTATTTTGAATTTCGGATTTTTGGATTAGGGATGCTTAACCTGTACAAAATAGTAGTAGTCAAGACACTGTGATACTGGCATAGAATAGACATATAGGTCAGTGCAATAGAATTGAGAATTGTCTTAGTCTGCTTGGGCTGCTGTAACAAAATACTGTAAACTGTGTGGCTTGTAAACATCAAATTTATTTTCCACATTTCTGGAAGCTGGAAAGTCCAAGATCAAGGCACCAGCAGATTTTCTGTCTGGGAAGGGCATGTTCTTACTGTGGAAGGGGTGACTGAGCTAACTCTTTCCTCTTTTACAAGGATCCTAATCCCACTCATGAGGGCTCTGCTCTCATGACCTAATCATTTCCCAAAGATCCCACCTCCTAAAGCCAGAGGTTAGGATTTCAACATGTAAATTTGTATGTATGTGTATGTGTGTGTGTGTGTGTGTGGTGTATGTATGTGTATGTGTTGAGGTGGAGGAGGGTCACAAAACATTCAGACTGTAACAAGAATAGCAGGGCATAGTGGTTCATGCCTGTAGTCCCAGCACTTTGGGAGGTGGAGGCAAGCAGATTGTTTGAGCTCAGGAGCTTGAGACCAGTGTGGGCAACATCCTGAAACCCTGTCTCTAAAAAAAATACAAAAAAAAATTAGCTGGGCATGGTAACACATACCTGTAGTTCTAGCTACTTGAGGGGCTGAGGTGTGAGGATCGCTTAAGCCCAGGAGGTTGAGGCTGCAGTGAGCCAAGATTGCGCCACTGCACTCCAGCCTGGGTGAAAAGTGAGAACCTGTCTCAAAAAGAAAAGAAAAGAAAAAAAACCTTAACATTTATGGTCAATTGCTTTTTGACAAGGGTACATAAGCAATTAATTGGGAAAAGAACAGACTTTTCAACAAATAGTGCTCGGACAACTGGATATCCATGTGCAGAAGAATAAAATTACACCCTCACCTCACACAATATACAAAGATTAACTCAAAATGGTTCAAATACCTAAAACAAACTCTTCAAAGAAAATAAAGGGTAAAATCTTCATGAACTTACATTGGGCAATGTTTTCTTAGATGTGACAACAAAAGCACAAGCAACCAAAATAAAAATAAATAAATTAGACTATCAAAATTTAAAATTTTGGGCCAGATGTGGTGGCTCACACCTGAAATCCCAACATTTTAGGAGGCAAAGACGGGAGGACTGCTTAAGCCCAGAAGTTCAAGATGAGCCTAAGCAACATAGGCCTATCTCTACAAAAAAGAAAAAATTAGCTGGGCATGGTGGCGCACGCCTGTAGTCACACTACTTGGGAGGCCGAGATGGAAAGATCACTTGAGCCCAGGAGGCTGCAGTGAGCCATGATCACACTCCGGCCTGGGTGACAGAGCGAGATCCTGTCCCCCCCCCCAAAAAAAGTGTAAAGAATGAGAGAAAATATTCACAAATTATATGTCTGATAAGGGACCTACAACTTAAAAAGACAGATAACCCAATTAAAAAATGGGCAAAGGATCTGAACATACATTTCCCCAAAAAAGATGTACAAATGGCCAATAAGTACATAAAAAGATGCTCAACATCATCAATCATTAAGGAATACAAATTAAAATTACAATGAGATACCACTTCCTACCCACTACGGTGGCTATGATTAAAAAAAAAAAAGAGGTAGTAACAAGTGTTGATGAGGATCTGAAGAAATTGTAACCTTCATAACAGTGCTGGTGGGAATGTATGATGCAGCCAATTTGGAAAACAACAGTCTGGCAGTTCCTCAAACAGTTAAACATTGAGGGCCAGGTAATGATGACTCACGCCTGTAATCCCAGCACTTTGGGAGGCTGAGCTAGGAGTATTGCTTAAAGCCAGGAGTTTGAGACCAGCCTGGGCAATGAGTCAAGACCCTGCCCCTTAAACATAAATAAATAAATAAATAAATAAATAAATAAAAGTTAAAAATTGACTTACCATTTGACCCAGCAGTTTTGCTCATAGGTTTGTACCCATGAGAAATGAAATCATATGTATATAAATATTCATAGCAGCGTTATTCATGATAGCCAAAAGATGAAAACAACCAAAATATCCATCAGCTTATGAATGGATAAGCAAAATGTGGTAAATCCTTACAAGGAAATAGTATTTGACCATAAAAGTAATGAAATACTGATTCATGCTACAATATGAAAGCCAGTTACAAAAGACTACATTCTGTACAAGTGCATTTATGTGAAATGTTCAGAATAGACAAGTCTATGGAGACAAAGTAGATTAGTGGCTGCATGTGGAGGGGGAGTATAGGGGTATTGGGGGTGATGGGTAAAGGGTATGGGATATAACCATTCTAAAATTGATTGTGGTGATAGATGCACAACTCTGAATGTACTAAGAATCATTGAATTGTACACATATGGGTGAATTATATTTCAGTAAAGCTGTTACCAAATTTTTTTAATCTTAGAGAATGTAAAAAATAAGGATATTTAAATCCTTAACACAGTACCTAGCAAATAGTATGTCCTTAGTAGCTATTATTTGATAAATACCATTTTGAATTTTGCTCAGTAACATCGATTGAACTAGCAGTAGTGTGTAAGATGGTTTGGTAATGGAAAATCCAGTTAGGACAATACTGTCATGGTTCAGACAAGAGATAATGTAGGTGTCAGCTAAGATTATATCAGTAGGTATAGAGAGCAAGAGGTAATTTTTAACTACAAGTAAAGTAAATAAGTAGTGACATTTTGCAGGTAGAACATGAAAGTAAAATCTATAGGATTTGTTTGCTGATTGTGATGGATGAAGGGTGATGTATCTGTCAGCCAGAATATAATTAGAAACTACACAGTAACAGGTGGCACAAAAACATCCAATTTAGTAGAATGGTGGTGATAGTACATAAAAGTCCAAATGCCTAGCTTATTGTCAAATGCTGATTCTAAGATGGCTTCTGCCCTTAATAGGAGACTGACAAAAGCAAGGACAATATAATGGAGTTATATTTTCTAAAGTCAGCATATGAAATGAAAAAAATATTTTCAAAACTACCTTTGAAAATCCTTTAGGGTAACACATGGGTTCTCTCAGTAGATCTATCAGAGCCAGTTTTTTCCAGTGTTGGAAATAAATCTATATTTGGCTGATCACCAGATGAAGTAGTTGGCTTGGGTTTTGGAGACCCTATTGTAGTCAATCAGACAATTATTTATTAAACACTCACTACTAGGCTCTAAAGATATCCCTGTTCTCAAGGAGCTTACATTCTAGTTGGGGACAAAAACAATAAACACAGAATTTCAGATGCTTTTAAGTGGTATAAGGAAAATTAAATAATGAGCATAGCTGGTAGTGGTGGTTGTGCTGGTGGCAGCTACTAATGTTCAGGAAGTACCTCTCTGAGGAGATGACATTTTTTGTTGGTTTGACACAGGGTCGGGCTCTGTCACCCAGGCTGGAGTGTAGTAGCGAGATCTTGGCTTACTATAGCCTCTGCCTCCTGGGTTCAAGTGATTCTCCCCTGTAGGCCTCCTACATAGATGGGATTACAAGTGCACACTACTATGCCTAATTTTTATATTTTTTGTAGAGATGGGGTCTCACCATGTTGCCCAGGCTGGTCTCCAACTCCTGGGTTTAAGTGATCTGACTGCCTTGGGACTCCCAAAGTGCTAGGATTACAGGCATGAGCCACTTCGCCCAGCCAGGAGACATTTGAGATGACACCATGGAGAACATTCCCAGTAGAAGCAATAGCAAGTGCAAAGGTCCTGAGAATCTCTGTTGCATTTGGTCACAAGCTTGGTATGTTTGGACCAAAGACCACTGTGTTCAGAAGTTAGTAATTAAGGAAAGTGAAGGCCAGGCATGGTGGCTCACGCCTGTAATCCCAGCACTTTGGGAGGCCGAGGCGGGTGGATCACAAGGTCAGGAGATCGAGACCATCCTGGCTAACACGGTGAAACCCCGTCTCTACTAAAAATACAAAAAATTAGCCGGGCG